AGTGACTCTGGGCAGCATACAACAAGACTAAAAAACAGTTAAATTAATAAATAGTAAACAATTATCATCATCATTATTAAAAAACTATAAAACTAAAACTAAAAACTAAAAAAGACTAAATACTGAGTGAAGAGATGTTAATAATAGTGGAGCCACCTCAATAATTCACCAATCCCCTGGCGTCCCCAGGCCTGATGGCATAACCAGGTTTTGAGGGACCTTCAGAAGGTCAAAAGTGATGAAGCCAGCCTCCCTTGGGGGGGGGAGGGTATTCCATAAAGCGGGTGCCACAACAGAAATGGACCTGGACCTAGGACCCGCCTAGGACCTGCCAAATGAAGCTCCCTAGCTGACAGGACCTGCAGCATGCCCTCTCTGCTGGATCTGGTGGTGGCCCTGAAAGGCAGGAGCCAAAACCCTGGCTCTGTGCTATCCCTAAGTTGGCCCCCCACTGCAATCCCCTAGCAGTACTGTTTCTTGTATCTTAGATATGTTCCTGATCAGCATTTGGGATAAATCTCCCTGTGAATTTGCTTATTAGTCCCATCCTGCCCCTTTTCCTTAAAGCTTCTAGGGGGACGTAAGCAGAACAGGAAAAGCCTGGCAGCATCTTGGTTTACAGGCCAAGGGACTGATTATGGCATCCATTTTAGTAGACCAGAAGTCACTATCTCAGATCTATCAAGCGTTTCTTCCAGTTGTCTTCATAAGTTGATCCTACATAGAAAGGTATAAAGGACTGTGTTTCCTGACTTCACATAGGACACTGTGGTGCTCCAGTACCATGGCATTTATGCACTTAGTGCCATAGCTACAGAGCAACACCTATACACAGCTGTATGTGGAAAGAGAGCAGAACACATTGTCTTCTTTTTTGCACTTATCTGTATTTTTAGAGAAGGTTTTACTTCTCTCAAGACTTAAGACACAACAGTGATAAGCAGGAAAATGATTAGAAATGCTGGGAGTTATATTTTTTGACACAATGCAGGAAGCTTTAATTAAGCTAATGAAAAAGAATTATCTTTATCAGGCAACCAACCAAAAATGTGCTTTCCTGTCCCTGTGTCCTTGTAAAGGTGAATATGATGCCCCATTACAGTCTGCTTGAGAACAGTCATTCTCAACTGTTGTTGCTTTTAGATCAAATTGTCACCAATATCCTACTTGCACAGAAGGAAGCTGTCACAAAGAAAGCAACCTTAAACTGCTGGATGAAGCTGACCTGCAATACATTTCTCCAAGCACATGGAGATCCTTCACATCAGTGTTGCCTGTGCATGGTAGCCACTATTCTGAGCACGTGGCAGTGAAGTATCAACATAATCGTGTTGTTGATTACATGTTTTCACTGCCTTTCTTTGCATATATGTTGGGAGAACATATTCAAGATGAATTTGAATATGAGAAGTATAAAATTTGAGAAGTATAGAATCAAGCCATAAAATGCTATTCTAATACAGTCTGGACATAATTCATTGAAGTGGAAGGAAGTGGTTGGAACATAATCTGTGCTTCCTCTCTTACTAGTTGACGTGGCAATGGCTGTGTCTGCAGGAAAGGAAACAATGGACATATTCTCTTAAGCATTTATCTGTATGGTTCCTTAGGAAAACCCCTTGGAATTTCTATCATCTTTCCTGATGAAGAAATGTAATAAGAATGGAGAACCTGGAAACCAGGATTTCTTGACTGAAAGCACTTCAGAAACATGGCTTGATGTGCTACCTAAGGTACAAAAGAATCAAGTGTTTGGTTTGCACTAATCCTGTAATGTCCTAGTTTCTCCTTATTCTGTTCCAAATGTTTGGGTTTTTTTGACAAAGTTAAACAGCTTGATTAAAGATAAGTGGTTTGTCATGAGATTTTAGGTCTTTTAATGGATCATTACTTGATGTTTTTATTGAGACGCCATCGTTAGAATTATTTTAGATCCTAGTTTTGAAAGAAAAGCAATATATAATTTTATTAAAAAGAATAAAAAGAATAATTCTGCTTCAGAATTCACAAAATGGAGCTCATGTATAATATATACATTTCCAGCATGGAAACTTTAATGATTAAAGTGGCCTATTTTAACTGGTGCTGTGCAAAACAAAGTTGTTTCAATAGCTCTTGCAAACAAACATCTAAATGTGAAATAGCATATTGAAATCTTCAGATCAGTTGGGCTAATCTTGAGGTAGCACTGTGAAATGAATGAATTGTATTATGAGAACAAGTAACCAGCAGTACTATGCATTTCTATTCAACAGTAAAGCCTAGTAAGGCTTAATTCCAGGTAAACATATGTAGGGCTGAATCTGAAGAGGCTTTTGAAATAATAGCAACATGTATGAATCTCTTTAGGGCTGGATATATGAAAAGGAGCCTCTAAGTTGCATAACCAAAAATCAGTACACCACATCAAGTGTTAGATGGTTAAAATAAGCACAATTTTTTTTGAAAAAAAAGTTTTCTGTCTCTTTGATGTTTAGACAGATAAACCCGAAGATGTGATAGAGAAGCGCCAAAGCTTTGCTAGAGAGCTTCTTCTAAGTGAGAGAAACTATGTGCACATTCTGGAAATTGTGAAAGATGTCTATGTTAAGCCACTAGAAGCAGCACTGGCATCCCATCAGGCCATCCTAAGTGATATAAGTATTCAGCTCATCTTCTCTGATGTCTTGGACATTTTACAAGTAAACAGGTATATTTCACTGACTATTTTGAACCATTCAATATAAAAGCTTACAGAGATAAAACAAAACAATTACTAGCTCTAGTTCTAAAAATTGCCCAGGTGTTTGGGATATAATAATTTGAAATGACTGGTAGACTTCCAGTACAGTTAACTTCTTTCTAGTCTGGATTGTTGATAGATAGATAGATAGATAGATAGATAGATAGATAGATAGATAGATAGATAGATAGATAGATAGATAGATAGATAGATAGATAGATAGATAGATAGATAGATAGATAGATAGATAGATAGATAGATAGATAGATAGATAGATAGATAGATAGATAGATAGATAGATAGATAGATAGATAGATAGATAGATAGATAGATAGATAGATAGATAGATAGATAGATAGATAGATAGATAGATAGATAGATAGAGACAGACCAACTGACCGACCTTTGAGTCAGTGTTGACCTGGTGACTGCTTGGACAGTTCCTTGCAGTTTTCTTGGCAAGGTTTTTCAGAATTGGTTTGCCATTGCCTGCTTCCTGGGGCTGAGAGAGAGTGACTGGCCCAAGGTCCCCAGCTGGCTTTGTGTCTCAGGCAGAACTAGAACTCATGGTCTCCCAGTTTCTAGCCTAATGCCTTAACCACTACATCAAACTGGATCTCTCTCTTCCGGTACAGTTAATTTCTTTCTAATCTGGATTGTTAAGGAGTCATAAATAAGAATCACAGATAGAACACGTCTCCAAGTGTTTGTTTTCAGTGAAAAACAGCATAGGAAGCTGGACATTTCAGATCAGGAGCAACTGCATCAACTCCCAAATCAGAGAAGGTAGTAGGGGCACTATTTTCTGTACTGGTCAGATCCCATCCCTATCGCTGGTTCCAGTTTTGAGCACCTTCATTTCTGAACACTTTAAGAACAATTCAGAGAAATTGGGATAGTATAGAGAAGTTCACGAAGGATGATTAGGAGTCTGGAAACTAAGATTTGTGCAAAACACGTTGGTACAAGTGTAGGATCCCTCCTTGCAGTACTGAAGCAGTCATATCCTTTGGAAGGCTTGGTACAGCTACCTTGAGGGCTTTCTCAGGTCATCACCACACATACAGGCACTTCGCTTTCAGCAGCAGTCCCAGCACTGCAGGAATGTGTCTGTTCAAGCAAATAACCTGAGAAAGCAAGACATCAGTGCAGCCACACTGACCTTTGGCAGGGTTGCCTCAACATTTTAAAAAGGAATGCTTCACTTGCATCAATATTCTTCACAAAGTGGCCTTTCTAAATGGTTTGCATAGCTTAGTAACTAGGTTTTATGTGGATATCTGGTTATGAAAGCACTTTTCAAATACTTGGAGGGTTGACACACACACACACAAAAGTTATGTGGATATCTGGTTATGAAAGCACTTTTCAAATACTTGGAGGGTTGACACACACACACACAAAAGTTATGTGGATATCTGGTTATGAAAGCACTTTTCAAATACTTGGAGGGTTGACACACACACACACAAAAGTCAAAGGCTGTTCTCATCTTAGAGTGTAGACAGAAAGGTGGATTCCAACTGAACATAGAATAAACTTCCTAATGGTAAAGAGCAGGTCAACACTAGAACCAATAAGGGAGATGGTGAGCTCCCCTTCCCTGTGGATAGCTAGCTGTTAGTGATGCTTTAATCTGGATTTCTGCACTGAGTATGAGGTTGGGTTCAGTAGTCCATTTAAATGGTCCTTCGAACCCTAGAATTCTATGGTTTGGTAATGAAATGTCTCTTTTTTCCCCCACGGTGGGTGGCAAAGCAGTGAGGCATTACAATGTTTAGGAGAAAAATTTGGGAAAAGTTAAGCAGCTCTCCTCTCTTTCATAAATTGGCTGGCAGAAGTTTTCCCAGATTTTAGGCTGGAGTCTCTCCCATCCTACCTGGAGATATCAAGAAGAGGGTATTTGATTGCTCTGGACTCATTCAAGGCATGTGCATTGCCATTTGTTCTGGACCTATTAATCCTTCTTCAGGTGCACCACCATCTGACACAATGTCTTCTGAAACCCTCCATGAATTATTCTTGTGCTTTTTTTGTAGTGAACATTTGTGGTTCATTCTGGTATACAATGGCAACTGAACTGAATAGGATAACACGTACGGATTATAGTAGGAAAATGTTTCCAATATACCCTTTGCCATTCCCTGATAGAAATAACGAAACTGGTTAAAGAAAACAGCTAGATAATAGGACAAGAAAGCATGGGAAAGTTCAGAAGAGGATAAATGTGAAAAAGAGGCAAGTCACCAAGATAAAGAAGCAAGTATAAAAGAGCAAATTTAATCTTAGGTTCATGTATTGAGCTTAAAATATTTAATACTGGTCTCATTATAAAGTATCTTTCAATTGTGGTTTTGTGCCACCTGAGACTACAGGATCAAATAGGACACTAGCTATAATTATTGTGGAGGTAAGCATCCAGTGGTGAATATACAGGTTCCCATATGAGAAGAGGCTAACAAAAAGACCACATACTTTATTGTGTTGGTATTATTTCTCTGGCAGGTAACTTTCACTGTGCTATTGTTCTAAAAAAATATTTAAGTCAAGCTTATCTCCTAGTGATTTCACAGACATATATGTATATGTCCTGTATATTCTTGACAACAGTACATAAGTGCTTGGCCACTGCTTTCTTCCAAGATGGGTTTGGTTTTTTTCCAGTTCCCAATCTCGCCTACAGCCCTGGGATTTCTTAGTTCCCCCTTCTGGCATTCAGGCCTGACTCTGCTTAGGCTGGCCAGGTGCTGCTGGCTGATGTAATGTCAGCTATTATAGACAAGTCTGGATTGGCAAGCATTCCATTCATGCAGGTGATTTAACAAAATTTCCCAGAGGTAACTGCCTGAACGCTTAGATGTATTTTTTAAAAAATGCAGGTCAGGTAAAGTATCAAATTTGCTAAAGGCTATAGAAAGCTGACATACTTGTTTATATATAGGTGGCTCTAATATATAATCACCTAAAATGACTCTAGATGTATGGAATCACTTGGTATAAGGTAGGCTGCAATAACCGGACACGGTGGATCTTCTTAGTGAAATATGCACAGAATAGCAGTAATTAGAAGGACGGACTATTTTTCAAGGGACAGACCATATGCTACTCTTCTCTGCTTCCTCAGATTTCTACTTGGATACCTATATGCTGAAATTATCCTCTAGGAATAGAGCAAGTTATGGTTGGGCAACTGAATATTAAACTTACCTGTGATCAATTAATATTTGGTCAATAATCTTCTGTAGTCTTCCTGGGTTTCTCTTCTGCTAGAGTAGAGACAGACACATTAATGTATCCAAGGTAAGCCAAGGGGGAGGGAGATGATGCCTTCGATGTGGAAGCATAAAGTTGTTATCACCAGCTGTTCCAACTTGTCTGCAGCCAGATAGAAAGATAGAAACACCCTTCTATGTCTGTTCCAAATACAGGTGCTTTTTAGCTGAGTTAACACGAAGGCTTAATGAATGGAGCCCTGCCCAAAACTTAGGAGACATATTCATTAAGTTGGGCCAGCAATTTCAAACATATGCAAACTTTTTCAACAACTATACAGTAATTCTGAAAACTATAGACAAGGTAAGAGTACACCAATCTCCCGCGATCTGGCTTATTCTTCTCTATGGGTTTAGGAGACTCTTGCTAATTCATTTAAAATGCACGAAGGGCATTTTCCTTTTACAACTTTCAAATGGTGCCAGTGATGGAAGCCTTTGGGTTTGGCTAGCATGCATACAACAGGTTTAACTGGAATTCTCCTCATCTCAACGGAGCCAGAAAATAAGTATGAAGCAGCCTGTGATCATGCCTGGAGGATTTTCAGATTCCTCCTCCTTGAGGCCAGCATGCATTATGGCAAAAGGTTATTGCTACTGAGTTATTTGTTTCTTTTTAGTCTGTTCATTTCTAACCTGAGAGCAGTGTTAGTTTTTTCCCTGTGATTCACTTCATCTTTCTGGACTAACATTACTTCCTTCTTCTCATTCATTACCTATTTTACCTACCTACCTCATTACCTACCTGAGTCAGTTTTGGGAATTAGTGAGGTGGCTTCCTTATTTTAAACATTCTTTTATTCTCTGTTTTATTTTGCTTTTTATATTTTTAATGTATTTATTGACTGTTTTTAG